TAAGTGGAATATGTAAATGGATTGGAGAGGTCCAACATCATGGAGAGTTATGAACACTCCGTTGCAATGTTATGGGGTAGACAGGATGAACTAGACTAGATAGAGGGTGGTCTTTGTTAGTTATCTCCTTTCTTATTGAGCACACTTAGCAATGAATTTCATTTGCCACCAAGACAAATACAGCATACTAATAAACAGTTACGGCAGGCGCCGTGGCTCACTAGGCTAATCCTCCACCTTGCGGCGCCGGCACACTGGGTTCTAGTCCCGGTCGGGGCGCCGGATTCTGTCCCGGTTGCCCCTCTTCCAGGCCAGCTCTCTGCTGTGGCCAGGGAGTGCAGTGGAGGATGGCCCAAGTCCTTGGGCCCTGCACCCCATGGGAGACCAGGAGAGGCACCTGGCTCCTGGCTTTGGATCAGCGTGGTGCGCCAGCCGCAGCGCGCCGGCTGCGGCAGCCGTTGGAGGGTGAACCAACGGCAAAAGGAAGTCCTTTCTCTCTCTCTCTCTCTCACTGTCCACCCTGCCTGTCAAAAAATAAATAAAAAATAGTTACAAAAATATGAGTCTATGTGATGAATGGTTGCAGTATAAGGAAGCTCTTATTCTTTTATTTTAAAAAAAATTGGATAACATGAACTTAAATATTGTACATATCACCAGATTGCATTATGCTCATAGATTTTTTTTTCCCTGGGTACAGTTTTGGAAAATAAAATCTCTTCCCTCAAGAGTTAAGCATATGAGATGGAGGGTTTAGAGCTCATGTGCTGAAGGAGAAAGGCAATTTATTACAGCCACTTTTTAAAAAGATTTTGTTTATTTGAAAGACAGAGTTACATAGAGAGGTAGAGCCAGAAAGAGAGGTCTTCATCAGCTGGTTCACTCCCCAGATGGCCGAAATGGCTGGAGCTGAGCCGATCCCAAGCCAGGAGCCAGGAGCTTCTTCTAGGTCTCCCACATGGGTGCAGGGGCCCAGGGACTTGAGCCATCTTCTACCGCTTTCCCAGGCCATAGCAGAGAGCTGGATTGGAAGGGGAGTAGTCAGGACTCGAACTGGTGCCCATATGGGATGCCAGTGCTTAAGACCAGGACTTTAACCTGCTGTGCCCCAGCGCTGGCCCCACAGCCACTTTTGACTCCATGACTACATATATTTATTTATTTATTTATATTTTTTATTTATATTTTATTTAATGAACATAAATTTCCAAAGTACAGCTTATGGATTACAATAGCTCCCCCCCCCATAACTTCCCTCCCACCCACAACACTCCCCTCTCCCACTCCCTCTCCCCTTCCCTTCACATCAAGATTAATTTTCAATTATCTTTATATATAGAAGATCAATTTAGCATATACTAAGTAAAAATTTCAACAGTTTGCACCCACACAGAAACACAAAGTGTAAAATACTATTTGAGTACTAGTTATAGCATTAATTAAACACCTAAGAGTAATTGTGTATTAATTACAGAGTTCAACCAATAGTTTCAAGTAGAACATAAAAAATACTAAAAGAGTAAAGTATTAAGTTCTTTCTTTTTCTTTTTTTGTTTGTTATATAGTTTTTTTATTTAATAAATGTGAATTTACAAAGTGCAATTTTTGTATTGTTGTGGCTCCCCCCCCCCAACCTCCCTCCCTCCCATGGCCCTCCCCTCTCCCACTCCCTCTCCCATCCCGCCCTTCATCGAGTTTCATTTTCAATTACCTTCATATACTGAAGATCAACTTAGTATATACTAAGCAAGGATTTCAACAGGCTGCACTCACACAACCGCACAAGGTATAGGGTATTGTTCGACTAGTAGTGTTGTTTTTAAGTTTCATAGTAGAACACATTAAGGACAGAGATCCTATGTGGGGAGCATGTACCCAGTGACTCCCATTGTTGATTTAACAATTGGCACTCTTATTTATGACATCAGCAATCACCCGAGACTCTTGCTATGAGCTGTCTAGGCTATGGAAGCCCCTTGAGTTCACCAACTCTGAATTTGTTTAGTCAAGGCCGTATCACAGTGGAGGTTCCTTCCTCCCTTCAGAGAAAGGCGCCTCTCTCCTTGAGGGCCTGTTCTTTCTGCTGGGGTGTTGTTCACCAGGATCTTTCATTTAGATTGTTTTTTGCCACCGTGTCATGGCTTTCCGTGCCTGCGAGACTCTCATGGACCCTTTAGCCAGATCCGAATGTCCCAAGGGTTGATTCTGAGGCAGGAGTGCTGCCATTCTATGAGTCTGCTGTGATGACTACATGTATTTATATCTGAACTGACCAAGGGAAGCATACTGCCCCTTGCCTGGGCCTTTCTTTCTTTGGTTAATACTCTCCTATATGTTCCAACATTGTTGCTAATTTGCTACTACTGGCACCGTTATCAATTTGTTCTTTGAATAAAAGTAGCTTAATCTAAGTACCAGTAAAAATGTATGTGCATTCAGGCTGAATTTAATGAAACCATCGTTCTTCTTAGAGTTACATATAGTAATAGGAGAGGACTCTTCTGCTCTGTCACCAGGTCTGTGACCTATGCTGAGAGCTTAACACAGTCAAGAGCAGGGAGTGGATTGGATCTGCTGTGCGGCTCACTCAGTCTGAGTGGCTGTTTCCAGTGGTATCTGGCTGCGTTTGTAGTTAGCACTCTCTTTATTGGGTCTCCATCCTTCATCCTGTATCTGCCACACATCCCAAAAGTCTTTGTTCACACCTCATGATCAATCATCTTTTCTATTATGCTCCTTGAGAGAGCCTAAGGTACAGTGGGTCCCAGGCATGGCCACTTGCGAACTTGCCACATTCTCCTTACGGAAAGCCCATAGAATGCTGAGAATATAATTAGTATGTGTGTGGTTGGAAGGATTGTGAAACAAATTGCCCAGATCCAGGGACTTTTTTTTTTTCAGTATCCATCAAGTTTGTAGCAGAGATGACTGCATTGAGGTGAAGAGTATCACTTGGGGCCGGCGCCATGGCCCACTTGGTTAATCATCTGCCTGTGGCACCGGCATCCCATATGGGCGCCGGGTTTTAGTCCCGGCTGCTGCTCTTCCGGTCCAGCTCTCTGCTGTGGCCTGGGAGGGCAGTGGAGGATGGCCCAAGTGCTTGAGCCCTGCACCTGCAAGACCAGGAAGAAGCACCTGGCTCCTGGCTTCGGACTGGCACAGAGCTGGCTGTAGTGGCCATTTGGGAAGTGAACTAATGGAAGGAAGACCTTTCTCTCTGTCTCTCTCTCTGTCTATAACTCTGTCAAAAGAAAGAAAGAAAGAAAGAAAGAAAGAAAGAAAGAAAGAAAGAAAGAAAGAAAGAAAGAAAGAAAGAAAGAAAGAAAGAAAGAAAGAAAGAAAGAAAGAAAGAAAGAAAGAGAAGAATATCACTTCCTAAAAGACAACACCAAGCATGTATTTCTCAGGCTGTTACAAGGCACTTCCTGCATTTCATGCAAATTTTCCTAGGAACTTGATTTTTGACAGCTTCCCAGTGAAGTGAATCAGTCTTCAGTGGTAAACGGATGCATTTATTTATTGAACAAATAAACATAGGGACCATTAGTCTTTGAATGTTACCACCTCAGATTATGCTTCATTGAATTTCTCTTTTTTTCCGTTTGCAAGTCTCTTCCTTCTGTCTTAGCACAATGATAATTATAAAGTAGAAAATGTACTCGGTTCTCCCACCACTGATACTCTCCATTCGTTTCCTAAGCAAACAATTTGTCACCAGGAATCACTGTGCATCCTAGGCAGTCCTCGCAGGCACTGAATTCTTTGAATCAAATGAAACTTCAAAACGTGATCTCAGTGTCAACACGATGTTGATACGGAGAACTTTATGGTGACTGGAAATCGTGTCTGTGTTTGAGGGAAACAACAAATCCTAGCAGCAGGAGTGTACTTTTACAGGAGGCTCTGCACATAGCTGAGGTCAATTCTGTCTCATTTCCTTTTCTAATGCCTCACCCCACGCTCCTTCAAGTGTGAAATCCATGTCCGACTGTACATCCTGATTGAAACCACATCGGTTACTGCTTCAGGAACAAGCACCTGGCATGGAACACAGCCTCTTCCCTCCACTCCACACTCAGGCTTCTCCATGCTGTCTCTTTTTCCAGCAATTCCAATCCAGTTTCCATTCATCACTCACACTAGGTTCTGCGTCACGGCTGTGCTGGAATTTGTGTTATTGTTCCAAGTCAAGTTGTACTTTTGCACTTGGAGGATGCTTCGGCTCTATCATGTGTCTGTCAGGTAGTGACCTCGTGCAAGTCACTCAAACTTCTCTGTGCCTTGATTTCCTCATTTCTAAACGGGGGCATGAAAGCGGCTTTGCAGGGTGGACCCAGGAAATGCTGTACACTTCAGAGTCAGCCTTGTTGTAGTCACGTAGACACATCATGAGATGTTAGCTTTATTTCTCAGGCATTACCATCATTTTCTGTTCCCTCCCACATTTAGCCCAGGGTCCAACTTTCTGAGCTTTCATTTACCTTCCCGCCCCAGTGAGTGAACGAATTACTTCTTTAGATTATTCTCTGACTTCTTCATTGACCTTCCTATGTCTTTTTCTTAATAATGTGGGACACTATTAAGTGTTTCTAGGCAATGAAGTTGTTAGTATAGAAAAACAGTCGGGAGAATGGTTCAAGGAGGCCTCCTCATCCATTTTATGAGACTCTTGCAACAATGTGGTGATGTTAAATAGATAAATGGGATTCTCTTTATTTCCTGGGCTTTATAGCTATATAAGTGAATGGTAAATGTGTGCTTAATATATGGTAAACATGATAATAAATACTATACTCATATTTTTTCTTCACAATGGTCAAATGTGGCATTAGCCCCATTTTACAAATGAGGAAACTGAGAGCCTAGAATCATAGGCCGTCTACTCCCAAAGCCTGAGCTGTCAACTCCAGGACCTGCTACTCCTATCCGTAAGGTATCCTTAGCCTCCGGACTGGTTAGCAGGTGAATGTGGTTGGTGAGTGTTCTTTATGCTCTTCCAGGTATTCCTTCCAAGATGAGGAAGACATGTTCATGGTGGTAGACCTCCTGCTGGGCGGGGACCTACGCTATCACCTGCAGCAGAACGTCCGCTTCCAGGAAGACACGGTGAAGCTGTTCATCTGTGAGCTGGCCATGGCTCTGGACTACCTGCAGGGCCAGCGCATCATTCACAGGTCAGTGAAGTCCCAGCAGACTAGACGGGAATGAACAGGAGAATCCACCGCCTGCCACATCCAACAGGGCCCTGGTGAACTTGTCCCTGAATCCTTTTTTGATGCTTACAACAGTCCCTGGGGTAGATTGATTGTTCCTGTTTTGCATACTGAAAACAGAATCGAGCACATAGCGCTCCATTTGCCTGAGGTCATAGTAAGTAAACAACAAGACCAGAGTCAATAAATATTGGTGCTATTTCATGATAAAGCCCAGGTAAAGAGGAGAAAAGGTGACATATTGGAATGTAGTAAGTACTAAATGAATTAATTGAAATAGGAGTGCAAGAAATATATGGGAGGAAAGGAGGAGGAAGGGAAGAAAGAAAATCAGGAAGAAAATTTCAGTTTTTTAAACATCTGCCTGTCGTGCCATTTATGTTAAGCCAATCTGTAATGTGTGTGCTGCAAATAGAAACAGCAGAGGCAATGTGTCTCCTACGCTTGGAGCGTTTTTAGTAAATAAGGAACACAGATAATATAAGAAACTACAAGCCCTTAAATGAGTAGCTGTGATGATGATTTCATAGATAGTATCTCATTTGATCTCTAAAATAATCTGATAAGTGATCGAGCACAGGTAGTTAGGTGATCTTTAAATATGAGAAAACTATTATTTGGAGACATTTAATTACAACCAGGTTTATCTCTATGAATTTTAAAGCTTACTGCCATCAGAGCAGCTGCTATTCACTGATGGCTCACAGTATACCAGACATGCTAGGTATCCTACATCCATGGCCTGATTAAATTCTCCACACCCACCGAGGACTCTGCATTTTATTACACTACCTCCATGTCACAGTTGAAGAGACCATGGCTCAAGGATTTGCCAAGGACAGACAGTTGGCAAATGGCAGTGCCAGGATTTAAGCCTATATCTCTCCAATCCCAAAATCAGAGCTCTTGCGTTAATCACACATATGAAATATATGCATTAATTACTTATACATCATTTGATGAGGAACCGGCACATATAACTCTGCCACCATCATGCCTAATCTTTGAAGTAGTCGCTAAGTTTATAGTCAAACTAAATCTTTTTTTCTTCTTTTTTTATATATATATTTTTTGACAGGCAGAGTGGTTCACCCTCCAATGGCCGCCGTGGCCGGCGCGCTGCGGCCAGCGCACCACGCTGATCCGATGGCAGGAGCCAGGAGCCAGGTGCTTCTCCTGGTCTCCCATGGGGTGCAGGGCCCAAGGACTTGGGCCATCCTCCACTGCACTCCCTGGCCACAGCAGAGAGCTGGCCTGGAAGAGGGGCAACCGGGACAGAATCTGGCGCCCCGACTGGGACTAGAACCCGTTGTGCCGGCGCCGTAAGGCGGAGGATTAGCCTAGTGAGCCGCGGTGCCGGCCTCAAATTAAATCTTATTCAACAAAGATTTCAAGTTCAACTGTGTCTGTCGATAAAATATTTGAGCACCACCTGTTGCCATTTACATAATTTATCTGGGTTAGGATGCAGCCTGTGGATAGAGAGGGAACATCCCGATTCAGAGACTCTATGCAGGCACCATGCACCAATCCTCTTTTTTAAAGCCTTGGCCCTGTACACTTAAGTAATTGTTTAATTTTCCATCTTTGGAAGAGTCTATTTGTATTGGAAATGCACTGTTCAGGTGGCAGATAATTGAAAAGCAGATCAGTTAATCATGTCCAATCTCAGAAGTAAATTTACACACCTGGTGTTTTGTCAATAACTGGAAATCCTGTTTTCAAGTGTTCTTCCTCCTGGCTGGTCCCTCACGGCTCTGAGGAGAAAGTCTTCCTATCTGTAGTCAGAACGTTTGCACTCATTCGTCCTGCAAACAGTCGGTCAAGAATATCCTGTCTGGTTGCCGACAGCAGAGACATCAGAAAGGAGAATTACTAGACGCCAGCAAGGACCACGAGTGCCTGTTAGTCCCTCCTTATCTCTGATTTCCCAGCTCTGCCCTCTTTCTTTGGGCCTTGTTTTCTCTGTCATCACAAGTCGAGATGCTGTGAGCATTTCTGCCCTGTGCCTAGGACTGCATTCCAAGGAGAAGACATCGGTGGAGGAAAAAAATTGGTACTATTTTATCTCCAAGGAACTTAATACCAACTTTCTTTTCTGCCTTTCTCACCTTCATCCTTGTCCCCATCACTGTTTTCTTACTTAAATTGTAAATGAAGGATTAACTTTTTGTTCCTTTCCCATTCCATGCCCACAGTTCTTAGTGCCCGAGTTCAGGGGGCCTCTGCACTGAAAAATCTCCTTGCCGTGGAAAATAAATGGAAGGCAAACAGTAATATTTTGATTGCAGTGGTAAATTGGGGTAAAGGTCTAATGGGGTCCAAAAATGATTAAATTGTATTTCTAGTGTCTATATACCCACCCCACCTCCCGTGTAGGCTATCCTAATACCTCACATCTCTCCTGAGGAGCTGTGCCATTTTGGATTGTGTAATTAAATACTTCATTTCTGTCTCCTATAATTGCAAACTCTGTGAGTGAGGGCCACATGTGTGTGTTTTGCTTTTCATTGTCTAAACAATATGGGCAGAAGCATGAAGGAATGGACATTGGCTGAGCCAAATGACTGACCTGAAGCCTCTGGTTACAAATGGTAGACAAAATTGAAATATAAGCCAAAGGTCTCAGACTTACCATAGTCTCTACAATTGGGCAATCCTGCAATTTATCATCCAAACCAGGGTACGGCTAAGATCTAAAGAGGGTGCTACTGATAATAATGCTAGAAAGACTGTCAAATCCATCAGTGTCTTAGGCAATTCAGGCCAGATGTCATCATCATTAAGGATTTTCAAGACAGAAGGGACAAGATAGACATTTGAATTCTGACAGAGCTTCCATAACCAAGATTTTCTGCTCTTGGGGTATCAGATGTCAATTTGATGTGTTATCAGTTTGAAAGAATCTCAAATGACTCAAGAGGAAAACACACCTGGAAAAATTTTTTGTCTAAGAAATTTAAATAATAATGATGGCTTTCTGACACTGGGGCTCCAGGGGCAGAGTAGAAAGTGGGATGAGCAATACAAAAAAAGGAGATGTAGGCTTCTGAGTTCTGTGTCTTTTTAAGACTCCTTTCTTCATTTATTATCGCTAACATTTGTTTATCTGAACTGACCAATCAAGTTATCCCAGGGTGTTTTATTTTATATAATAAAAACTTAAAGAAAAAAATTTAAAACTCTTGAAAAAATAAAAGCATGCTGTATTTGATGCACTCTAACAAAATATTTTTAGATTACTTAGAAATTTAGGTTGTAAAATACATCCTAAGCTCCAAGATATTAAAATTGTGAATAAAAAAAATTGATAAATAGGGTACGTTCCCTAAATAAGGAGAGACCATCTGCATGAAACATGCTAAGTACTGGCTAAAACCCCCATTTGCCTCTGGATGTGGTAGAACATTAAAATGTGTCCATAAGCAGACAGCAGATATGTGTGGAGCAAGGACAGCACTGAACTGTTCTTGATGGAGGTCTTCCTGGGGACTAGGCAGCCTACTGAGCTCTCATGAATGATTTCACTCATCTTCCCTGAGCTGTAGGAGGCTGTTGATGTCCTTGGCCCCATTTTACAGTCAATGCAACTCTGGCTCAGAAAAATGAAGTCACTGGGCTCCGGTTGCAAAGCTACAAAGCAGGGGAGGCACCACATTAATGGAGTGGAGGTCCATAAACCACTCCACACCAAACTGATGCTCAGTACAGCCGCAGGTCTAAAGAGGGCATGGAACCAAGCAAAGTGGCCACCTGCTGTCAACGCCCACTGCCTGGCTGCACAGGCAGAGATGTGCATCCCATTAATGAAGGAACAGCCTTGAACAAAAAGCTGGCTTCAGAGAGGAAAAAGGTTTTGGGTAACAAAACAATTTTCAGGAGAGCTCAGAATGCTTCAGAGGGATTTTATTAGCCAAAGTGGAAAGGAAGGGCCGGTGCCATGGCTCACTTGGTTAATCCTCCGCCTGCAGTGCCGGCTTCAAATATGGGCGCCGGGTTCTAGTCCTGGTTGCTCCTCTTCCAGTCCAGCTCTCTGCTGTGGCCTGGGAGGGCAGTGGAGGATGGCCCGAGTGCTTGGGCCCTGCACCCGCATGGGAGACCAGGAAGAAGCACCTGGCTGCTGGCTTCAGATCGGCACAGTGCCGGCCGTGGCAGCCATTTGGGGGGTGAACCAACAGAAGGAAGACCTTTCTCTCTGTCTCTCTCTCTCACTGTCTAACTCTGCCTGTCCAAAAAAAAAAAAAAGTGGAAAGGAAAGCATAGGCCACATAAAAGGGGCTGAAGGAATAAAGGAACTCATTTGTCTCTCTGTAGTGACGTGGAAAGGGCTATGTTTTCCAGCTTTTTCTCACATTAGTCTTCCTGCCAGCAATGTCTAGCTTGTTTTTAAAAAACATCTCAGGTCCTATTTCTGCCATACATTTAAAATGAGAAAGAAAATGAGGTTTAGTTTATTTTATTTGCAGATTTTCTTTCAATTTTTTATAGTTTCCTAATTACAGTCATAGAGAATACTCAGCTAATTTTCCTCAACTTCAGAATTTTTTTCTATAGTTTTTAAAGACACAGGGTTGTATAATAACCATTAGTTTTAAATTTTACAATGAGAAGATTTTCTTGTGAGTCAAGAAGTCAAACATTTTTCTGTAAATGTAGCTTGAAAATCTGCCTTTGTTTCCTAAATATGGCCAGTTTCTAGTTTAATATTCCCCTTTACTTACTTTAAATTAGTGAATGAGGCTTTAAAATATAGACAAAGTGAAATGATAGTTTGCTTTTATTAAAAATACAAGAGAAGTAAAATTCATTAAATACTTCCTATGGGGATAGTACTATTTGAATTGCTGATAGCCACAGTCTTTCCAATGAATAATCTGATGGAAGCTAATTATTACAGTATGAAGACAATTTGTATTCATTCCCTTGTCAGATGTTAAGCTAATGAGATCAATTATATGGGA